TCTACTCCACCTTCCAATTCTCCTTTTTCAGTCCCTCCACCTGGCCCTTCTTGATCATATCCAATAAAGAAGAAATAATAACAATCCTCAGACATACATTCCCAAAAGATGTACCCACTGCCTTGCAGCTCAAGGCGTTGGCTTCTACATTGCCTTCCTAGGGTGGTATAGGATTTCACCATCATAATCCTTTACCATATCCAACCATCTCTGTTGCCGCATATTCAAATTCGGCTAATCCATCAGGCACCTGTGGTCAGTGTAGATAGTAAACCTAACCCTATACAAATAGTGCCTCCAAATCTTTAGGAAAAAAGCCACAGTCTCCAAATCCAAATCATGCGTAGGATAATTCACTTCATGAGGCTTCTGCTGCCTTGAAGCGTAAGCAATCACGTGACCCCTTTGCATAAGAACAACTTCCAAACTTGATATATAGGCATCACAATAAACCACAAAATCATCCATACCCTCAGAAAGCACGAGAATTGGGGCTTTGCACCATCTCTATCGCAGAATCTCAAAGGCCAACTGTTGATCATACCCCCACCGAAAAGTAACATTCTTCTTCGTCAAATGGGGTCAATGGCACCACAATCTTGAAGAAGTCCTGGATAAACCTCTGATAATACCCTACGAGATCTACAAAGCTCCAAATCTCAGATAGGGTCCTTGGAACTTCACATTGCATCATAGCTTCAATCTTGGTTGGATCGTCCAATATACCCTTCTAATTGATGACATGCCCTAAGAACCACACCTCTTATAACCAAAAACTCACATTTGGAGAATTTGGCATATAATCTCTCTCTCCTAAGGGTCCGCAACACCTCTCGCAAGTGCTCGTCGTGCTACTCCTTGGTCTTGGAGTAAGCCAAAATATCATCTATGAATACTATCACCTATTTGTCCAACATCGACATACAAACCTGGTTCATGAGATCCATGAGCATTTTTGGTGCATTCGTGAGCCCGAATGGTATCACCACAAACTTGTAATGACCATAGAGAATCCTAAAGGTCATCTTCTGCACATCCTAGTCTCTGACCCGCATATGATGGTAGCCTGATCACAAATCAATCTTGGAAAACCAAGATGCGCCCTGAACCTGGTCAAATAAATCATCGATCCTCGGGAGTGGGTAACAGTTCTTCACCATTAGCTTATTCAACTCTCGATAATCAATACACATCCTATGTGAACCATCCTTCTTTTTTACAAACAGGATTGATGCTCCCCAAGGCGAACTACTCGGCCTAATAAATCCTTTGTATGGCAGCTCCTAAAGTTGCACAAACAACTCCTACATCTCCGGTGGTGATAAAAGATATGGTAATGTGGCTATTGGAGCGGCACTAAGAACCAGATCAATCTGGAACTCGATTTACCTATTGGTAAGAACTCCTGGAAACTCCTTAGGAAACACATCGTGGAAATCCCGAACAATGGCCGCCTCAAAATATTTCATCATGATCTCAACCTGAGTATCCACCACATAGTCCAGAAACCCAGAACAACCATGCTAAAGATATCTCCTGGCCCTCGCAACTGAACATAGAGCCGGTCCATGTGAAATTCCCTCGCCAGTAATAAAAAATTCTCCTCCAATTAGCGTTCAAACTCTCACTAGATGACGCTCACAGTCAATTATAGCCCCATTGGGTCCCAACTAGTACATCCCAATAATAACCTTCGACCCTCACAAAGCGATCAACACCAAATCAATAGAGCACCTCTCGCTAAATAGATTCAGAATGCACCCATGATGTACCCTTTAAGCACTCATAGAACGGTCATCAACAATCTCGACCTCCAACGGATAATCTAAAATCCTAGGAGCATCACTAAACTTCTTGCTAAGCAAAAGAGATACAAAGGATCGGGTAGCACTCGAATCAAACAGAACACGAGCGGTGATACCAATGACTTAGAAAGTCGTTAACCATAATTATATTCAATTATAAGCATAAATAAGGAAGAAAATAAGATATATTAAAAGAAATACATACTGGTAATCACATTTGGTGATGCACGAGCCTCGTCGGTAGTCAACTCCAAAGCCCTACTCTTCACCACATGTGTCTCTGCCTTGCCCTAGCGACCACCGGTAATCCTCAAGGTGGTTGGTGTAGGCATCACCACCAGCCCTCCTGACAACCTCATAAAATCGACATTTTTATATCATGTTTGGTTGTAGTGAAAATAGATCAATGCATTCTGGGGGCAATCCCTACTTATGTAACCTGTCTACCCACACCAATAACAACCCGAACCTACTGATTGACATGCTCTACTATGATGCTTGCCACACTTGCTGTAGTGACCTCAACCCTGTTGGCTCCTAGAATGTGAATCAGAAGTCTTGGGTTTCTTAGCCTGGCCCACGACAGTTAGCATCTGCTCCGGATTACGCTTCGTCCGAAGCTCCATCTCAATCTCCTTCTCGTGGGCCCTATCAATCATATCGTTTAGGGTCTTGCACCCCAAAAATCTCACAAACTCTTTGATACATCGAGCTAGCCTTGGTGCCTTCAGCCCACTAAGGTGGTAAAAAGATTACTTCTAACTGAAGATAACTTAATCGTACACTCAAGCTACTGTGAACATGGCTCCTCACACTAAACGTAACCCAATAACAACCCTAATTATTAATTAGAGTTTTACCCCATCAACAATGGTCCAATTCATCATTTATCGAATTGAGGGCAAAAGTCCATTTTGCCCTTCCCATTCCTAATTAACTAATCGAAGGCCAAAATTCCTAATGGCTCATGGCTAAAATGGCCCTAAAGCTGAATTTGAATAGTACGCCCCGTGTACTATTTCGTACACCCTACATACAAGCCTCTGATGCAACATGGATTACGTAACCAAGACGGAGTACGCACAATGTACTTCAAATTACGAACGATATACGTATCAGAATCCCAAAACATTCGATTAAGGTCTTAATGCCTTAAAACATAACGTCCAAACTTCATATCCAAGTCTAAAAAAACATAAAAGACATAAATTTGCAATGTTTACGCTTTTGTGTGGATACAAAGAGCCCAACACCAAAACCCTAACTCCTTTAGTCATCTAAGACTCCATAAATCTTGCATGGAGTGATAACAAGGTGCAAGTTTGCATTTTTACGACTTAACATACCCTAAAATGTCTTAAAGGACATCCTAAAACTATGGAGTACTCCATACTCACAAAGATCAAAGTATTAGGACTAAAAAGAACACAAAACTAGACTTGAACAAGATCTAAAAATAAAAGCTCCAAGGTATGAACTTTATACCTCTGGATGATGCACCAAGCTGAGGAGATTCTAGATCCAACAAGCTTGAGAGCAATACCACAACTCGTAGGATCTTCCTTCACCACCAAAGACACCAAAAGTTACTCTTTAGGCTTCAAAACGTCACAGACAAGGATTAGGGTTCAAAATGGAGGTTGAGAGGTGAGAAGAGTTAGAGGTCATAAGGTTTTTAAATAGGGTCCAAACCCTAAAAATTAGGGTTTGTCTCCTGCTTGTGTACGCCCAACGTACATGCACGTACAATCACCATACGTGAGAGGCTCCCGATCACATGCAAGGTTCCTAAGCCCGACGTACCTGACTCATACACCCAACGTAAGGACCAATTTGCCAATAAAATTATTTTTTTATAGTACATGTGTTTAATTTTCATAAGATAAAATCTGTTTTCGCGTTTTCGCAGGATATTTATATTTTCGCATGAACTTACTTCTATATATATATATATATATATATATATATATATATATATATATATATATATATATATATATATATATATATATATATATATATATATATATATATATGGATGCATTTTGCTTTTTGCATAGGGCCTTTAGAATCAATGTACTGACTTCGATGAATCTAATAGAGGTAGGGATGAGCATATGGACCGAGGAACCGGTCGGAACCGGAACCAGCACTGGAACCGGAACCCGATGGAACCGGTCGGGCCGGGACCGGGATATTATTTTTGTGAATTTTTGGAACCGGGAATCGGTAGGAACCGGAACCGGTAGAACTGGCAAAAACCGGTAGAACCGGCAAGAACCGGAACCGTATGATGCTATTTTTCAAGGATCGGTTCCAATATTTGAAGACACGACAAGAACCGGTAGGAACCGTGAACCGGTAGAACCGTTGGGCCGGTTCGGTTCTTGATTTTGGCCGAAGCCGGTTCCCGGTTCCAGTCCGGTTCGGTCCTTTTGCTCATCCCTAAATAGAGGTTTCCCCCTCTGCTGGCATGAGGAGTGACGATTTCACTGTGATGACAGATTGTTTTGAAAATGGATTATTGCAACGTGAGAAAACACAAAAAAAACATGCATGAGTAATCAACATGTATTAATGGCATTTGTTTTTATACTTTTGGTTTCTTTGTACTAAAGGTTATAAAGTTTTCCAATAGAGTTAAACTGGTTATGTATAGTAATGTTGTGATCCCTAATATCCATAGACGTAGATTATAAAAGAATTAATTTTTTTATTTGGAAAGATTAGCAACAAAACTTGTTGACTGTATGGCGTTTGCCTTTAATATATGTTTTAATATGATTTTTAATAACGTGTTGTTGACATATGAAAAAATTTGTGATGTTAAAAAGTCAATATTTCTATGTATTTTTTGATGTTAAGACTTGGCCGAGTCATTATATGAATTTTTCTAATTTTATAACATTACTAGTTATCTTTTCTTCCATGTTGGTCGTAATACAGATGAATGGGATACAAAAGTTGGCTTTCAACCTTATATTTTCACAAAAAGAAAAAGATTTTGTTGAAAAATTCAAAGTTTTCTCGTGTGAAAATAGTTCCCGAGTGCTTGATTCTAAGACCATATAACGTTCCACTTAAATTTTACCCACAAAAAAGAAACATAATCACAAGTCAAAAAGCAAAACATTAAAAAGACAAAGGGAAAAGTAACCAGTCCCTTTCATAATTAATCCTTCTTCTTCGTTAGGTGACCATTCCTACTTTGTGTTACCATATCTAATTCAAGATCGCTTTCCCCTCTCATTATCAAATTCCCCTTCCCATAAGAAACCGCTTCCTATTCGTTTGTATCAATAATTCATCATTAAAAAACTGTCCCATTGTTTCATCCTACTTGAATACTCTTTCATGGCTCCTTTTGCCGTTTCATGTATTCTGTGCACAAGATCTTTCATGTCTTCTTGATCGATCGTCTGTTTTTTACTGTAACTTCGTTGACTCTTGTAATTGGTATAAAACTATAACCAGTTATGGCATACCCATGTCTTAATTTGTAGATCAATTGTGGGTTTTGTTGAAGAATCGATGTTGCAAGTTAAGAATTTAGTGGAAATCAGATGTGGGTGATTCGTAGTGGAGCAATGCGTATGGGTTGTTTCGGTGCTTTTGATGCATGTAAAGCAAGAAATAAAAAGCTTCCAGATGGTAAGATTATTTCACTCTCTTTTTTTTTTGTAATATTTTTTTTATTCATATAATTATACAAATACACAACATGTATAGATATGTTTTTGTCTCTGTGTTAGTTTGTTTGCTTGCATATGATTATATCTTGAGCTTTTAGCCTTTTAGTGGTATTTATCGTAACTGGAAACAATAGTTTGTATATACTAATATTTATTGATATGTGGCGTCTTATTTTCATATATTTGTATTAGAATATTGTTTTGAAAAAATCATTGAATTATAATAACCTTTCGTCCAAATAGAAAGCAATTTCAGCGTCATAAGATACTTTTACAGATAATATTCTAATTGGAAAAAATGAAAATAAAATGTTATAATTGAATAGATTTTCCGAACTATATACTCTTGGTTAATCCCCGGTGGTTAATCTTCGAAATATTTATTAACAATCTCTATTTTATTAAAATCTATTATAAAAAAGCTAAAAATTCATTCTAATAGTTTTAACTTTTACAAAGCCTTTTTCTTTTATCCTCATCTATCTTTAATGTCTCTAAAAGCCTTTCATGTAATTTTTCGTTTTCCATCACATGTTAAATTTCTCAAATTAATATTATGTTATTATTTGTAAGGGCAAAATGTACTCAACATAGAAGAAATAAGTGGCTGAAAACCTCCACAAAATCTCACCTCTCCAAGGATAAAAAAATACTATCATTGAAAATGTTCTAAGTAAGAAAAAAAATTAAAAATATGATGTTCTATGTATTTAATAAAATAGATTATTTACTAAAAATAATAAAATTTTGATATTTGAATACAAAGTAAGGTTTCAAATAAAATGTTATTATTTGTAAGGGCAAAATGTACTCTAACATAGAAGATATAAGTGGCTGAAAACCTCCACAAAATCTCACCTCTCCAACGGTAAAAAAATAATACCATTGAAAATGCTCTAAGTAAGAAAAAAATAAAAAATATGATGTTATAATAGAAATAAATGAAAGCAGAATGCTATAATATTTTTTTAGCATTTAACGAGCCCTTCTATGAAGAATTTCCGTTTTATGTGCTTGCTAATGTTAAGCTGTTTTTTGGTTGGTTAGATATTTCTACTGACAACGTTAAACAGTTCTCATATAATTCATTGAGATCGGCTACAAGGGACTTTCATCCATCAAATAGAATTGGTGGAGGTGGTTTTGGAGTTGTTTATAAGGTAAAATCCCGCTAACATACACACTCCTGAATTTCCTATGATTTACTAATATTTGATAATTTCTAAATTAGTTTAATAAAATTAATTTAAATGTTTATATTGTAGGGGATTTTGAGGGACGACACTCATATTGCAGTCAAGTCGCTTTCTGCTGAATCAAAACAAGGGACACTTGAATTCTTGACAGAGATCAAAACGATTTCAGGCATCCGACATCCAAATCTTGTTCAACTTATAGGTTGTTGTGTGGAGGATGGTCACCGAATTTTGGTATATGAGTACCTCAAAAACAACAGTCTTGCTAGTGCTTTACATGGTATTGTAATTCTTTCTACTAAGATCATGTTACTTTTTTTCTTTCTAATTAAGTGGTGTCCAAGATAAATGATGTTTCAATAATATCTTGGGATTATGACGACAACTTGAGAATGGAAGGAAAAAAAAAAAAAAAAAAAAAGAGGAAAGCTTTCATTTACTAAGTTTGGACTTAAGGTGGAAAGTTTTATCTATTAAGTCGTTCTTTTTTGTATTAAGTAAAAAAACACCATATATGGCTTATCGGATTAAGGTTATATTTATTTTCTTCCCCCCCCCCCCCCCAAAGTGTCATCTAGACTAACGTCGTTTAAAATTATTTGAAAAAATGATTGCACATTTGTGATCAACTCAAGTCTTAGACATTCAAACTTAACTTGTTTATTCCATACGGACAAAGGCCCTATTTATAGGCTCAAAAGAGCCGGTTACATAATTGAGTTGCTATCGTCTAATTGCAATACGACATACATATTTACAATATAGCCCCCCTAAACTATTGAGGGTTACACACTTTATTTCATATCCTAAACACTACTTTATATCACATTTTCTACCAACAATAATGACTGCACACTTGAGACTTAATGGGAAAGGTCTTCTTTCCATAACGTTATTTATGAAAGTAAAAAGTAAAGGAAAGAAAATTATAAAAAGTTTGGACTTAATGGGAAAGGTCTTCTTTTCATAACTTTATTTATTAAATCGTTCTTCTTGCATTAAGTGAAAAAGAAACAAATTGGTATAGTTTAGTGGATCAAGTTTTTTTTCTATACTAAGTCAAAAAGAAATATGCATATATAACCAACCAGATTAAATTTTTTCTTGAGTCCATCAAGTGAAAAGAAACAACACCTAACTTTCGTATTTTGTCTGGTTCAATGATAGGCTCAAGAGGCAAACACTTGGACCTTGATTGGGCTACACGAGCTCATATATGCAAGGGCACTGCATCAGGTCTTGCATTTCTCCACGAGGAAGCGGAACCACATATTGTCCATAGAGACATAAAGGCAAGTAATGTACTTCTTGATGGAAGTTTTGATCCCAAAATAGGAGATTTTGGACTCGCAAAACTTTTCCCCGACAATGTCACTCACGTTAGCACTCGAGTTGCTGGAACAGTGTAAGAAATGTTCAACCACATTCTCGTTTTCTTTTCAATAAATTGCATGAAATATCAATTAGCAACGCACTTTACTCTTTTTTTTGTGTATATAGTCAGTATACTTTATCTCTTACCCATAATAACAATGTACTTAAATCTTTTTCCCATAATAGCAACATACACATGTTTTTCACTGATAATATCAATATGTAACTCACAACAACATATGTATAATTTCGTTACAGATATAACAACTAACAATTTCTTACCCATAATAGAAACGCACACATAATTCTTTACTAATTATAGCATTATGTACCAGATAAGTACAATGTTCATATTAGTAATGACATGTATGTATGTTGCTTTTATAGGTAAAAGGTAAAGTACGTTGATATTATCGGTAAAGAAATGTAAAAACACTGTTATCATAGGTGAAAATAAAGTACATTGACCATATTGGTAGCGAGAGTAAAGTACATTGATTTGAGTTTTTTCTTACTGCTTGGATCTGATTTTAATAGGGGATACTTGGCTCCAGAGTACGCTTTATTGGGTCAACTTACAAAGAAAGTGGATGTATATAGTTTTGGAGTACTTATGCTTGAAATTATAAGTGGTAGAAGTAATAGTAAGGCGGCCTTTGGCGAGGATCTCCTGGGTCTCGTTGAGTGGGTATATTTTTTGACTACTATGAAAGTTAAAACACAATACAATACATATTTAAAACATATAATTCACACACACACACATACACACATAAACTATGTTGGTTATAATTTCTAATTGTCTAATATATAAAATTATAGTAATAAAAGGATACAATTAAGTTAGTAAAAAGCTAATAAATAAAAGGGTTGTATTTTAAAATATGTAAAAAGTATAACATATACATTTATGGTGTTATGGTTTGGAACGGGTCTTAATGATGATTTATCAATGTATTGTGAATTGTGATAGAAAGACTATGAAAATTAATGTATGACAAATAATATAAAATGAAAAGAGTTATTCGTATAACAACAGAAGGTCAAATATGAACTTTCTATTTCTGACACGGAGGCAACATGTGTCAAGAAATGTTAGTTTTTATTACATAGTTGTGGGTATCAAAATCTCTCTTATTTTGTAGGCATGGAAGCTAAAAGACGAAGAAAGACTTCTAGACATTGTGGACCCTGACCTAACAGAATGTCCAGATGACGAAATTATGCGATTTATTATAATTGCACTCTTTTGTACACAAGCGGTTTCAAACCAAAGACCATCAATGAGGCAAGTAGTTGAGATGCTCACCAAAAAAGTCAACCTCAACATTAGATTGTTGACCGAACCGGGGATATACAAGCCAAATTCATCATCTAGTCGTTCTAAAGGTGGTGTGTCACAAGCAACAACAAAAAGTGGAGCATTTAATGGTCAGAAATCAGTAAATCCTTTTATAACTACTTCACCACATGTTAGTAATTCTTTCAGTAGTATGTCACAAATGTTTCCTAGATAATCATTATATTCAAATTACTTAAACCAAAGGGTTTCTTAGGTTATGTATCATAGCTTTGTAGTTGTTTTTCCATATAGCGAGATCACAAGTCACTTTAAGATGTAAATGTAACACTTTCGTATAAGAAGTATGTGTTTGTATGTTGAAGGTCATCACTAGCCCAATAGAATCATGTTATTGTCTAGAAGAAGTTAGCATGTTCTAGAATGATCTGGAAGATTCTAGAACATTATGGAATACTATGGAGGAGTGTTGAAGATGCCGGAAGATTCTAGAATACTCTAGAACGAGATGGAAGACCCTGGAAGGCTATGGAACATTCTAGAACACTATGGAAGACACAAGAATGTCTATACTTATCTAGGACATTATAAAACATTCTAGAAACATATAAAAGCTTGTAATATATATAGAATATGGTAGATAGTTCTAGAATAGCCATGAATGTATGTAGATCTAGAAACTTCCTATAAGGAGGTGGAAACACCTATAAATAGGTGTGGAGCTCATTTGCTCCAAACAATCCCAACATCCAAGTATCCTAGAAAGCCTCAAAGAAAGCAAAGTGTGTAGTAGTCTCACAAAGTGTAAGTTCTTCTTAAGTGTCATAATAAAAGTCTTGTTGTTTCCCACACAAAGAGTCGTGTTCAACAATCTGGTATCAAAGCAAGGTTTCTTGATAGTGAGAACGAGTGATTCTCGTTGTATCGTGAGTAGTTTGTGACTCTGCAAGTTTAGTATCAAAACTAGCTTGTTTGGTATTACCGAGGTACTGCCAACACGATGGGTGATCTCCAAGTCATCGGAGGAATCAAGAAACTCAACAACAACAACTACCAAACATGGGAAACATGTATGAAGTCCTACTTACAAGGACAAGATCTATGGGAGGTCGTTGGTGGAAGCGAAACTACGCCACCAGAGGAAGACGTTAATGGTGCTTTACGCAAATGGAAAATCAAAGCAGGCAAAGCAATGTTTGCCTTGAAGACCACAATTGAAGAAGAGATGTTGGAGCATATTCGGGATGAGAACACCCCGAAAGAAGCTTGGGGCACGTTTGTGACGCTTTTCTCAAAGAAGAATGATACAAGACTACAACTTTTGGAGAACGAGCTATTATCAATCTCACAACGTGACATGACGATTGCTCAATATTTCCACAAGGTCAAGTCGATATGTCGGGAGATTACTGAACTAGATCCACAATCCGTCATTGCAGAAGCTTGAATGAAGAGAATCATTATCCATGGACTGAGGCCGGAATATAGAAGCTTTGTTACTGTTGTACAAGGATGGCCCGCTCAACCATCACTTGTAGAGTTTGAGAATTTGTTGGCCAGCCAAGAAGCTATGGCTAAGCAAATGGGAGGCATCACGCTGAAGAGTGAAGAAGAAGCACTCTACACAAGTAAAAGTCGGAGGAATTTCAAGCCACCTTCTAAAGAAGGATACAAAAATGCTGACAAAGGGAAGAGTCAGCAAGGAACCTCACAACCATGGAGATCTCAAAAGACCGACAATAAGAGTTCTCGGGGGAGGAGGTTCGAAGGCAACTGCAACAATTGTGGAAAGTGGGGCCACATGTACAAGGATTGTTGGTCAAAGAAAAAGTCTGTGGAAAGCAATATAGTAACTTCCAAAAAGGAAGTAGAGGATGAATGGGATGCTGAGGCACTATGTGCTATAGAAGATAATAAGACTAAAAGAGGAAGGCTAATGTTCGTGGATGTTAGGGTAAATGGAGGATACACCAAGGCTTTAGTAGATACAGGTGCATCCCATAATTTCCTTGCTAAAGATGAAGCTAAGAAGTTGGGCATCAAGTACACCAAAATGCCAGGCCGTTTGAAAGTCGTCAACTCTTTATCCAAGCCTATCATTGGTGTTGCATATGGAGTACCTCTTAAGATAGCAGAATGGGAAGGCACCATAGACTTGACAGTGGTGCATATGGATGACTATCGTATGGTATTGGGAATGGATTTTTTAGAAAATGTACGACCCTGGTCATTTGAGAGAGATGATACCATGCGTATCACCAAGGTTCAATAATTCACATTGTAACCTTGAAGAGAAATATGATTGGATCCCGCATGCTATCAACTATGCAACTCGACAAAGGTCTCAAGAAGAGTGAGACAGAGTTTATGACAACCTTGAAGGAGGAAGTTATTCCTTTGAAGATGGACATTCCAAAGGAGAATAAGAACATGACGTCACCAGAGTTGCATAAAAAGTCTCATCTTAGACGAAAAATGGAACATGTGATGGAGAAACTGGATAAGGCGAAAAAGAAGAAAAACACATTAATTCGTAAGAGCAAAGTAGAATTTCTCAACAGAGCAACATGTAAACGAGATGAGCAGATCAATAAGGGATCACGTCATAACATGTTAATATTGTGGGAATTTTCCAAAGCTTGTAAAAGGGACAACTCACATGCTTACAAGTTTCTCAAAGGGAGGCATAAGAAACTACACAAGACAGTTCAACAAAGTCAGGAACAATATTATGCTACAAGAAAATGCAACCACGAATGTCGTTGTCAACTATGGAAACAATATACGAAGCAACGACTGCAACAACTAAGGAAAAACAAAACATGTGGAAGAGAAAAAGTTCTCAAGGAAGAAGTCAATATGAAACATATCAAGACTAATGACCAAGTAGCAAATGGAGTTCATAAAGGGTTAAGTACTGACAAATATGAGGGCTTTAATTATCAGCTCAACATGGTACAACGAATAGGGGCTAGTGCTGAGGGGGAGTGTTGAAGGTCATCACTAGCCCAATAGAATCATGTTATTGTCTAGAAGAAGTTAGCATGTTCTAGAATGATCTGGAAGATTCTAGAACATTATGGAATACTATGGAGGAGTGTTGAAGATGCCGGAAGATTCTAGAATACTCTAGAACGAGATGGAAGACCCTGGAAGGCTATGGAACATTCTAGAACACTATGGAAGACACAAGAATGTCTATACTTATCTAGGACATTATAAAACATTCTAGAAACATATAAAAGCTTGTAATATATATAGAATATGGTAGATAGTTCTAGAATAGCCATGAATGTATGTAGATCTAGAAACTTCCTATAAGGAGGTGGAAACACCTATAAATAGGTGTGGAGCTCATTTGCTCCAAACAATCCCAACATCCAAGTATCCTAGAAAGCCTCAAAGAAAGCAAAGTGTGTAGTAGTCTCACAAAGTGTAAGTTCTTCTTAAGTGTCATAATAAAAGTCTTGTTGTTTCCCACACAAAGAGTCGTGTTCAACATTGTAGTGATGTAAATTGTAACACCCTTTGTATGAGAAATTTGAAATAGTCATTTAAAATAAAAAGTTCCAAAGTATTTTGTATTTTAATAAAACAATTTGTAGAAAAAAGATCGCAAATGATCAAGTCCTTAATATATTAAAGGTTCAAAGTGTTATGGCATACAACATGGTTACCATAAAATCAATTGAAAATTGTCTTTAAAGTAAACATTAACAATACATCCCAGTTCTAAATAAATTCTTCTAAATGTATAAATGATAAATTTGTTATTAAGTCTTTGATTAAGCCTCCTAAATTGAATACATGTAAATAAAGTATGTATGGTTTGAGAAGGTTAATGATCATTACTGGGGTTAGACATTGTTATGAGTAAGGAAGTTGCACATTCCATACACAATATCGCCTATCTCTTAGTATACACTAGCAACAAGAGAAGTCAAGATTGGTGCCCGTAAATCTACACAAAAAAAAAAAAAAAAAAAAAAAAAAAAAAAAAAACATTTTACCCAAATAGAATTGTGAACTCCCAAAAAGTTTTCAAAACTTAAAGGCTAGTATAAGTTCAATTTAAGGAAAAAGATGTAGTGTTTTACTTATGATGATTTAGGTGTATTGTAAGTTGTAAAAAATTTCATTAAAGGTGCTACAATATTACCTATAAAATGTCTTATTTTAACTATGTTGATTTATGTTTGTAGAAGGGGCAAGGGAAAAAGTTGTTTTGAAAGGTATTTTAAGAGTTCAATTCGAAGGTTGTTTTAAAAGTTGTTTGAAAGTTGAAATTACACATGTTAATTAGTATGGTATAACTCGGATGTAACTCACTAGGCATCCTAGCCAAACAAACTATGTTCACATATGGCACGAGTTGCAAGTGATTCGTGATTAGTAGAAAGTTGTCAAGGTAATTAGAGACTATTTGCAAAATATAGTTGAGGCCTTGGAAATAGATATAATTTACAACATTATTTTTAGGTATAAAGAATTTGAGATTACAATTTATTTATTTAAAAAGTTCGAATAAGATATTTCCAAATAGTCCTTCAAGGGGTGATATATATATATATATATATATATATATATATATATATATATATATATATAAATATGAAAATACAAATAATTTGCAAAAATACAAAGAACCACTTATAAATTTACACATCATTCTTATTATCTTTTAATTATAAAACATTACAATAATGGTATAGGGTCAAATTCGTCAATTATGAAAGAAAAAAAATATTGGATTGGGTGTCTTAGCCCATAACTATAATTGGTATAAACTTGAATTGATAGTAGCACAGTCCTTTTGGGTTGCCCTCAAACCTAGTAATTGAATAAGATAACTTTTAGAGAGAAATACTAATTTATTAATTTATGATATTATTAATAAATTAATTAGAAATCAATATAAATAAGTTGTTAATATATTATGAGAATAATGTATTAACTAGAAATGATAATATTTAATTAAGAATTAATCATAAATTAATTGGAATTAATTTTAGGATTAATTGGATTAGTTAAAAGTATAGGGGTTAAAGTGTCGTTGTTCAATAATTGAACAAGAGGCATTCTAGAACCTTTAAAAGGCTTTTGACGTTTTCTGTAAGGATTTAGAGGACCTAGAATTATCCTTAGAGGATAATTAGGAAGCTGAATAATTACCAAAATGAAATAATATTATTTTATTTCTTTTAGGGTTATCTAGGGTTTCCTTGTTACACTATAAATAGGACCCTTATGATACAAATTCTGGTCATGACTTCCATAGAAGGGTTAGGCCAAAATTCTTACCTCTCTCTCTCTCTCTCTCTCTCCTTGGTTGCTAGGGTTTGGGTGTGGACCATTAGAGACACGACACTTGTGGTG